GTCGAGAAGTTCGCGGAATTACATAAGTGAGCAATTTGTGCGCAGTTCGGTCTGTCGACACATCTTCTCGGCGTTGAACTGGTCGCATTCGCTAAAAATATTGTACATATTATTTCGATTCATTATTTTGCATAAATTTTAAGTCATTCATTAAGAAAAGTTTCGCAGATAACCTAAAATTAGATAAAAGTAGAGAAAAATATTAAATAACCTCCGGTGATGCAATTTCTCAAATTGCATGTGCCTTGGCAACTTTGCTGCATTAAAGGATCAGAACAGTTTCTCGCTAATATTAAAATGTGACAAATATCGACGAGATCTGGACATCTTCCCAGGGCACCTGGTCGATCACAAAACCCGCATGTTCTTGGACAACTGCGAAGTGCAATTGCGTGCAGTTCTCCATTGCACATTGCGGGGGTAAAAGTTCTGCAGACCGCTTCATTTGCTGAAAATTATGCAATGAAAATTATGAAAATATTTATTTGTACTATATTTCCTTACCAAATCACTGAATATGAAAAAAACAATTTCAGCAGTAAAAGTGAAGTTTAACAAACCGTCATTACAGGCGAACTGCTTCGTCAAACAACACATCGCACAAGTCGATGGACATCTCGAAATCGCTAATGGTTTAAGAACTGCGTTTGTACAATTTTTATGTACTTTATAATGTTGGCCACTGAATTAGACTATTTTGTTTCAGACTATATATTGTTTATAGAATATATTATTATATAATTCATATTTTATTTTTGATAATTTATTTAATCGATAATTTTCTGGCTATGACCTTTTGGCATTTGTTTGGTTCTTCAAAACTTAAATTTAAATATACTTTGGTTTCTCGACAAAGATTGAAAAAGTGCAATGCATTCTCGTGGTTCTACGAATCATAAAAATCCCAAGAAAGTCGGTTGAAAAGAAATCGTTTTGTGGACGCAAAAAAAAATTGGGAGATCCCTAGCTTCCATGAACAGTCGTGGTCATGGAGTCATGCTAAGATGATCATACATAATATTTGTAATATTTTTTTGTAATGTTTTGAAATGGATGGCTTCCTAATAGATATTTTATCTCTGCATTATGCTATCACTAGATTCATCATCCCTAAAAATAAATAGCACAATAAGCATGGAAGATAAAAAAGAAGGGAAGATTGTTAAAGCCCAGGGTTGATAAAGCCTAGGCTCATTGAATAGAAATAACGAAATATCGATTTAATTGCATCAAAAAGAGTATTTAGTGGATTTAGTGGACTGTTCCTTTCATTTACTCATATTCCGGCTAATAATATTCTAATTTAGATAGGAATAATACGTCTTTTAGAAATTCGGATGACGCTGTATTCTTAACTCGCCAAACGACTCCATGGCAAAATTTGTTTGTTCCGACAACCATCGAAGTGGGCCTTTCCAGAGATGATGGCTCTTAGGAAATAAATTATAATGAAAAAAAAGCTAAACTTGATCGAAAAAGAAATGGAAAACTTATGGTAATTAAGTTTTTTAGTGACTTTTTTAAAATTCTTACTCGTTTAAGTTGTTTCCAATTGTTGCTGCATCCAGTGGGAATGTTGCGAAACAAAATCCTTCCTCAGTATCACGGCAAGCACGGTGCGAAATTGAAGGTTTTTTAATATTACCAGCTCCTGTCAGCATAACGCAATCAGCGATTTCACTATAATCATCCCCATAAACAGGTGAGAGAAAAAAAATGATGAGAAGTGCGAAGCCAATAAACCGAGCGGTCCACATGTTCACCACAAATTAATACTGATTGCTTGCAAAACAACCTTTTGTGCCATAGCATATCAAAAATGGCTAATGTATGCATTAGGTAGGACAAAGGGAATCTGCAATGAAAAAAAAAAGCTGTCGCTGGAATATTTACTCATTTATACACAATTTATACACAAAAAAATATTCCACAGTGCACCTGAATTTTAAATGCGAAAATACAAATTAAAGATTTTGCTTTGTGCCAAATACTACTCTTATATTTTATGTATATTTCCATTCTCTTGCTATAATTCTGCTAATATCTCAATGTTTTTCCAGTTTAGTTGGTACCATTGCCTAAGTGCTGCAATGAGACTCATTTTGCTTTTAGTATTTTAAGCAGGCTTCGCTTTTAATATTTATAGTCATTCCATCTTGAGATTGGGACGAATATATGAAAGCTAATTTCAATCGAAACAACCAAGAATTAATGAATGAAATTGATATCATTAAAATTCTGTGCTGTATAAAATTCTGTAAATTCTTGTATGGTTAAAATTAGAATTATTAATTTTTATTCTTAAATTTATTAAATAAATTTTCTGAATTAATTTTCTTACAAGAGAAATTCATGAAAATATTTGAAATATTTGAATATTTATTTTTTCTGTTTCAATATTTCAAATGATTTTTTTTTATTTCAATGCTTCAAAATTCCAAAAATATTTTTTTGAGATATATTTCACGGTTATAATTAAAGCACATTTGTAGGTGAAATAAATTTATTTTTTGCGAAAATTTCTGTCTTTTTTTCGCTTTATTCGAGTGAATTGAGTGATAATTTCTAATTATTATCTTTCACGCTTCCAACTTAAATTTCTTGTTTAAGCAATAATTGGTGTCCTTTGGAAGTGTTTTTCTTTCTCCGAGAAAAACATTTCCGCTTTGGCTTTTAGGAGCAAATAGCAACTTTTGCTAAGAAAACCTTGGTGAATCGCTCGCCATCACCTGATTTTTCAAGGGCAAACAGGCCCTTGTGGACTGAATCTCACCATCGGGCATTCTAAATTGAGCATCAATCGACTGTGTCATTATTCGACATTCTTTTGCTCTCAACATCCAGCGACATAGCTGCAGGAATAAACATGGTTTGTTGGATTCAAATTCTTGATGAAAATATTTTGCCAATAAAGTAACATATGTCGGTTACAAAACATAAAATGAAATAATTCAGTTTTATAAATTGGTTTCTTCATTTAATTCTTCATTCAATAAATATTCGATTTGACAAAGTTTTTTGAAAAAAACCTGAATTTTTTTAAACAATTCGAAATTCTTCTTCTAAAAGCCTCCACCATTCCTGGTTAAGCTGGCTCAGCTGATTATATATATCGATAAGACTTTTCCAATCTGCTCGATTTAATGCCATCGCTAATAGTATTTTTTTTCCATCGTCCAAGTCCACATATATCGCTGGTTCGCCTATACCTTCAAAATCTCACCTTTCGGAGTGCCGAATAATTAAGCATTAATTAATTAACAAATACATTTCTGCTACATTTATTACTTTTAACTATTTATTTTTGATAATAAAATTATAAGAAATAATATTTTTTAAAAATATAAAACGAAAAAAATCCTTTTTTTTTATTTTTTTAAATCGTTTCATAACCTTTTTTTTATTTGCAATCCTATAAAACCAATCTTATGAAAGTATTCTCACACCAAAACCACTAGCACCGTCTTCTCGCTATAATCTATGAGCACCTATCTTGAGCCACTCTTTGCGACTTTAATCCCCTTCAAACTTAGTTATACATTTCGTTCATTAAAAGTACCACTTGCTTCATAATTTCTTTACAGACCTTCTCCTTTCACCCACATAATTTATATGGTGCAATTTTCTTCCAAAAAAACGATAGTTACATCTTCGTAAACTTTCTTATATTTCTCCGTCAAATTCTGCTTATTCCACAATATTTTGCAGTGTGTCTCTATTATCCTATAAAAATTCATAATAAAGCTTATCATATTTAAATCGTTGAATGTCAAACAAAATATATTTATTCAATTGGAATTCTGTTCAAACCCTATCACATTCTTTTCCAGTTTCTTCCAACTTCATGAGCAAATTTTGGTTTGGTGCACTGAACCAACTATTACGGTGACGATCTGTATATAGGAAATTGTTACAGAATAGGCCTTCGTTTTCTTTAACAAAAACCGCGAAAAAAAAACAATTCAGTGGATAACATAAATTATTATTTGGGTTAAAAATTTGGTTCAAATTATTTTAGCTTTGCTTACTCGAATTGTCAACTTAATTGCCTTAAATTCGCTCGAAGCATATGAATTAAGTTCAGTTGTATTGCTTCGGTAAGAAACAAAATTCTTATCTGCTTTTTGCAAATATCGAAAGCAAATATTTTGTATTTTTATAATGTAATGCAATCAATTAATAAATTATAATAGAAAAGTGATAAAGGCTTTTCGCATTTTTTTTTTCCTTTTCAAATTCCTTAACTTTTTTCAATCAACGTGAAAATGCCCATTTAACACGTCCCACCACATGTGACAGGGCATTGCTGCTTCAGGGTTGTCGAGAAGTTCGCGGAATTACATAAATGAGCAATTTGTGCGCAATTCGGTCTATCCACGCATTTTCTTGGTGTCGAACTGGTCGCATTCGCTAAAAAAAATTATAATATATAATAATTATTTTATACTATTCTTTTGCATAATTATGTTGTTAAATCGTTCATTTATCTAAAATTCTCTCGAAGAACAACTCGCATTGCCTTAAAATTAGATGGAAGTATTAAATAACCTCCTGTAATGCAATTTCTCAAATTGCATGTGCCTTGGCAACTTTGCTGCATTAAAGGATCAGAACAGTTTCTCGCTAATATTAAAATGTGACAAATATCGACGAGATCTGGACATCTTCCCAGGGCACCTGGTCGATCACAAAACCCGCATGTTCTTGGACAACTGCGAAGTGCAATTGCGTGCAGTTCTCCATTGCACATTGCGGGGGTAAAAGTTCTGCAGACCGCTTCATTTGCTGAAAGTTATGCAATGAAAATTATGAAAATATTTATTTATACTATATTTCCTTACCAAATCACTGAATATGGAAAAAACAATTTCAGCATTAAAAGTGAAGTTTAACAAACCGTCATTACAGGCGAACTGCTTCGTCAAACAGCACATCGCACAAGTTGAAGGACACCTCGAAATCGCTAATGGCTTAAGGGCTGGATTCATGCAAC